CATTGCTTTAAGTCATGGGTCTCATGATGCCATAAAAATTCAAGGTTTGTCGTCATTCACAATTTTATTTTTTGTTTAACTAACATTGTTTTTAGGCTATGTTGTCGCTAAATAAAACAGTATTAAAGTTTCGACGGACGTCAATTCCAATGACATCAGTCAGCTCCGACGACGACAGTCAGCTCCGACGACGACGGTCAGTTCCGACAACGACAGTCAACTCCGACGACGACAGCCAGTGTCGACGACGACGTCAATCAGTTTCGACGACACCAGTTAGTAACGTCGTCAGCAGCCTAATATCATCAGTCAATGACGACAACATTAAGACAAATGTAGCTTTAAACGACGATGCAAGTAAGCTTTTGCCTAAATGCAAAATTCAGATTTATCACTAAAGACTATTCGATTCTAAAAATAATTTCATTGAATTTTATTTATAACTCATGACATTAGCTTATGTAGCGCTTAAATTTTTATATTTTATCAGGACTAATTTATGTCGTACCAAGCGTATTTTTAGATAAAGTAAGGTTACAGGTGGAGATTTATAACGTTAATTGATTGTGACATCGGAGTATTGTCGTCGACAACAACAAAATTGACGGTAACATTATATTTTGTGGCTAACTTCATTCCATATTGTTTGCATTTTTTCATGAAGTTGCCACAAGGGGGCAAGATAATATGATCTGATTATCAATCTAATGCTTTGATTAAATTTTGTTATTTGATCCCTGATGCTTCGATACATCATGCTTTGGTTATTATGATTATTATTCCTTAGTTTTTGACGCTTTGATCATTATACTTTGATTAACTGTCGATGCTTTGATAATGGTTCATTCTTAACGTAGTTATGAATGTTTAACGCTTTTTCGAATACATATGGTGGATAATGTTATTTGTTATTATTTCATGAATAATTAACAAACGAGTTGGTATATATGAGAATGCTCTTATAGATAATTCACCAATCTAGAATGTGACATCGGGGGCTAAACCTGATTTAATCTTCCCGAGTGATCCAACCTGGGCGCTCGATTTAAATGACATCAACTCTTATCAAGGTAACTTTCTATTATTTAAAATGTATGTCGAATTCCATCAATCTTGTCACAAACCGTGGTAGTCACCGACACTATTGAGGTACACCACATTATCGCTTTTAGTTTTTACATTTATACTGTCATGATCATACTCTTTAATTTGTTGCCTAGCTTAAAGTATTTATTTCTATTTCCATTGATCATCTTCATTAACGTATTATTACTTTGATTTTCTAATTAGCATTGTCATTGACACGATTCCATCGCCTTAAAGTTTTACTTGTTATGTCTATCATCTTTGTTGATGTAGTAATATACATAATTAATTTATGTTTTCGTTATTTGACTTACCTATTTTTATTAATTGATTATCAGTAATTCTTGTGATGAAACATGTGGTTACATCTTGGTTTATGAATCAACGTCATATGCAATATCTAAATCTTTTTACGCATCGTTTACATTCATATTTTCAATTTATTTATGACTTAATGCAAAAATTCCACATTAGTGTTTAGAGTGATGACGAACAGGTTACTCGACGCCAAGATTAAGCATAACGATTTCAATATTATGTATGAAAACATCATACACCTCGACGCCATGAAGATGATGACATAAATAAAGATCATGACGACATGTGTGAATAGGGAACTTCAATGTCATGGCGATGACAACCAAGGGTCACACCAGCAAGTTGTAGCGACATTGACAAAGGATCGAAACATCAAATAATTATGATCAAGGGTCATGACGACATGAAAGTAAACTCTAACCCACTTAAACACATTTGATTTGATCATCTTGTATGTTCTTTATCACTATTTCTTTATGTTTTTGACATATCTATGATATATGCTATTCTTAGAAATAGCGATTATTTTAAATATTTCAAATGCGATAGCTCTCTAACTAAGCCGTCGAAAGAATATGCATTGCTTTATCCTATATTTTGCAGAATGCAATGAACGACGGAGTCAAAGGAAAAAAGTTTATGACCAAAGCTCCAAACAACGGTTACTCACAAAGGCGTCAGTTACACTGACATCCCCAAAAGGGATGAGGAAAACTGCCGCTCAAAAGTACATCGTAGCAAACGAATCCCGGGAAAAATAGACCTTAGCGTCAGACGCCAAACGCCCGGTAGCTGAACTACCAGTTTAATCCTCAGTGTTCAGCGTCAGACGCCAGAGCGCAAGGGGTATTGGCGCACAATGCAACGATGGCCATACAACGATAGTATAACTTTTTTAAAGTTATTCTTCAAAAGTACACCGAAAGGATTGGTCGTACCGATTAATCATATTGACAAACGAAACACTGCAAAACGAGCAAGTCCTAAAGTACACATAGTGTCTTAAGTCTACAAAGTGTCATAAGCATGTAGAGTGTCGTTAGTGTCGATAAAAAATCATTTTAGAAAAACATTCTTTTATTTATTTGCATGTCTTCAATATTTTATCTATGAAACATTTATTTTTTGTTCTCTAATTTAAATTGGTTTTGTCATGCATCGGTAACATAGACACATAATGTCCAATGTCGGCAGCTCTGGAACTACGTTAGAGTTTACCCTCCGATACAAAGTCATGCAATGATTATATTTGCTCACAAGTCTTTGTTCTCAACAATGTTACAAAAGTTATCACATACGATAAATATTTTGTACTTAAAACTTTTAAAGTGCAAGACAAAGCGATCGAACGTTATCTCCGTACAAAGAAAACGTTTAAAATGTTAATGGCCTTGACGCCCAAATTTATTATGACGAAAGCATCACTTGGTTGTGACACCAAATGTGAACACTAAATACATTCAACAAACTTAGCGTCGGACATCGCAACAAAGTTTTCCGATTGGCTTTAACGCCATAAAATGAGTTAACACATTAAGAAATCCCTTATTGATTGCATTCAAATTACATATGCGGCCTCGTCGCCAGACACCATGTTGAAAAGAGTTTTTGTCACCTAAATGGGCCGAGTTCGACACCATAGGTCATAACAAAGAGCTAACGTATCATTGTGGTTATTGCTACAATGACAACGATTCAATTGCTCTACCCTCGGATTGAGCGACCCTAAAGCAACATCACTATCATCAACAGGTTTGGTTTAATTTAATGTCTTTTATATTAATGAATTACTATATTATCCTCTAATGACATGTTAATGCAGGATCAAAAGTAAGTATATTTATTGTCTTTCTATAATCATTATTCATATTTAAAGTAATTTTATCATCTAATTGTCCAAGTACTCAATCTATATTGTTACAACATTCGAGATTTGGCTTTATCGCCAGTGTACACAGACATCGTCCCTTTCTTTAATGGTCTTAGCACCCGAATCACCTATTTTGGCCTTGCTGCCAGTTCATTATTTGTTGACAATCTTCGACTAACGTCGTGACCATTATCACAACCAACGTTCAACATCGACAAAGTCCTTCCGACGTCGACAACATCAAATTTCGCCCGTCGACGATCAGCTTTCGTCCGTCAACGATATTAGCCTCCGTCCGTCGACGACATCAGCTTTTGTCCGTCGACGATATATATTACCCTCCGTCCGTTGACGACATCGGTTTCCGTCCGTCGACTACACCGGCTTCCGTCCGCCGACGACACTGGCTTCCGTCCGTCGACGACCGCCTTCCGTCCATTGACAACATCAACTTCCTTCCGTCGACGACCATCATTCATTCGTCGACGACATATGCTTCTGTCCGTCGACGACCATCTTTCGTCCGTCATCGACGACACTTGCTTCCAAAGTTGACACTAGCTTTCGACTCGACGAACAACGTCCAATTACATCATTGACATTGATATGGCAGTAACTTAAGCTTACATATAAACAAATTATGACCTCTAAAAAGACCAACGACGAAGGCATCAAGAGTCAAGACACAAAGGTAATGACACAAACATCAAAATGAAGACGAAGTCAAAATTAAAGTGAGCATAATTTTCCTAGTTGTTGCCGTACTCCAACTAAGAAAATGGGGGCTATTGTTATGGGGTAATTTTGTACAATGGTTGACCGATAATGATAGTCAACGATCGACGCTACAAGACCGGGTCAAGATAGTTACGAGTGCTTCCTAGAATCAAGGAGGGACAATGGGTCAACAAGAATAATTCTTCAAGGTTGTTATTACGTATCTACACTCTAAGCAAGTCCAAGTTCATTGGAGACCAAGTAAAAGGGATAACCGCTACTCCCACTATTTGAGGATGTGGTGGAGGAAATCATGCAACAACCACCCAAAGTATCTCACAACCACGGTGCTGCTACATTGAAGCTCTATAAATAGGAAAGCCATCTTCCCATAAAGAAGACATATCCTACGTACATAACCTCCTCCTAAACATACTACTCCTTTATTCCCATGCAATTTCTCCAACCTCCATCCACATGGGCCTTCCACTAAAAGTGTCATTGCTCAACTACTATATTTTAATCCCAATACCACTCTCCTAAAAGACCACTACTGCAATGCATTTCCACAATACTACTTAGCCTATTACGCCATATACACCCTACCATACTACGTACAGAGTCCATACTCCCAGTTTACTTGTAATTAGCTCTGTATATTTCTATAATTATCGTATACATTGTAATTGTAATGTTTGGCTTCATGCCCATATTATAGTGGATTGGTGGCCTTATTGCCACCCGCGGTTTTTACCCACCTTCATTGGGGTTTTTCGCGTCACCATATCGTGTCTCCAATCTCCCATATTTTTCCGTCATTTACTTTCCACATCCAATGTTCCTTATTTTAATTTAGTTGATCTGTAGCCCGTATCCCACATCAAATCCTACTTGACGAAATTTAGCATAAACAGTAATGTTATTCCCTCCGTCCTTAAATTAGATTAAAGGATGGATGTGCATACATGTAACATTAAAATGGTGTGATTGAATTGCAGAGGACGAAACCATGTCGGTAACCTATGTGACTGCTGCTTTCAAATCAAATAAACAAGATGAAGCCTATATTTTCATGAAAAACGAGTATATGCTAATTGACTATGCACCTGGTGAGAAAGATGACAAGATATTGAATGGACCAGCTCGAATAGGAGATGTGTTTTCATCCCTGAAGGATACAGTCTTCGCGGACAAGGGAATTGACTGTGCATTCGCGTCTGAAGATGAAGGAGTGTCATACATATTCTCAGGTAACATTTGTGCGAAATGGCTCTGTGCACCAGATTTCCCCAACCAAAAGATTCTTGAAGGGCTAAAGCCCATCGGCGAGATGTTCCCTTACCTGAGGGGGACAGTGTTTGAACATGGGGTTGATGCTGCATTCGACTCATCGGTTCCTTTTGAGGCTTACCTCTTCAAGGACAGTCAATATGCTCGCATCAACTACAGTAATATTGGTCACCTCATGACCATCACTTCCATCAGACAAAACTGGCATTGTTTGAGAGACACAATGTTTGAGAATGGATTTGATGCTGCTTTCGCTTTACATATTCCAAATCAGGCCTACTTATTCAAGGGTGATTCGTATGGACGTATCAAATTTACTCCAGGCTCCGCAACTGATGAGGAGCTTATGTGGTCCGGAAGAATTGAAGATTCATGGAAGGGTTTAGGTAGCATCTTGCCTCGCAAGAATTGAACAATATGTTTACTCTTTTCTTCTATGTTGAGAAAGGGCATATATGGCATAACTATATTATTATGTACTTTTATATCTATGTTTATTATGATGAATGTACTTCGTATCATATAATAGAGGATGCATATCATTAGCTCAGGGTTAGTTGTAGCCATTGAGTTATTGCATCCTTAATTGTTCTGCTCTGATGTGTCCTATACACGGTTGGTAGATCTATATATATAGTCAAGGATGTGAGGTTTCTTGCGTCCTTGTAAGTTGTGCTAAGCTAGTTTGCCAACCGTTTGTAATAACGATATTGATTTGTATTATTATGTTAAAGTTTGTTACACTGTTCCTTCCGTATTGTATCGATTAATCGCTTTGCTTTACTTTTCTTTTTTGGTTGTATTTTATTACTTGCTCCATTTTTTTATTTGAAAACCTTTACAATATTTTACTTTTTTTTCTCTCTCTAATGGACTCTTCGACTATCATACTTTAACATTTTCGCATTCTCTTTCCTCTTGCCTATCGTACTTTATTCTTCCACCAAATTTTCTACTATTTCTCCTTAAATACGAAGGGAGTACTACAAAACTCGGTGACATTTATTGAGCAATTTTTTAAGACAGAAATATTTTCTTGAAGCTTTTTAGACGTATGTTAAACTTCAATAAAAACAATTAGGAAAAAACCGCTTAATGAGTCTTTACCATTAGTCACCTAAGCTTACAACTTATGCATCAACCTAAATTGCCATAAAAAAAAAAAAAAAAAAAAAAAAAAAAAAAAAAAAAAAACTCCTAACAAGGTAAATACAAATATATTCACCCTAAAAAAAGCCTAGTAGAGGATTTTTGTTGAGTAACACATCCTATTTGCTCAAGTCAACAAAGTCAAAGTTGTTATGCCATGTCAGAATGGAGTTAGTTGAGCCTTAAAAGTTTGTTACAACTTTTCCAGCTCAGCTTAGTGTAATAAAAGAGATAGCTATAAATAGTTATGCAACTTGTACTTTTCTTATTCATTCAATTTCTCTTAGATTCTTTTCGATCTGTAATTTTCTCTAAGTTTCCTTCTTCTATAAGAAACAATTTTCTTAATTAATAAAGCTTAGTTCTAGGTCATGAGCGGAACTTCTACGGATGCAGCAGTGATGGCATAAAATCTCTGTGTCTTGTTCTTCTTCTTTGCTGATTTCTGATTCTGCTTCTCAATCTATTCTTTGCTGCGATTTCTGACATGGTATCAGAGCGGGAGTCTCGCATTCGAGTTCGATTCTGGTAATCTCTTTATATTCTGCTGATTTTTCGATTGATCGAAATATATTTAAAGGTTGATGGAATATTTTTTTGGATATATTTTTCTTGATTTCTTTTATTGATTTGGTGATATTCTATTGAATTGGATATTTTTGCAATCGATTTGAAGGTTTTGTTGAGTTTTTGGTAATAATTTGGTGATTCTGTTGTTTGAGGTTTTGTTGAGGAGTTTTTGGTTGATTCTTAAAGATTTGGTTGAACTGAGTTTTATATGATTTGAGGTTTTTTTATGAAGTTTATGAAGTGTTTTTGATTCTTAATTCCATTCTCTGATTCAAGATCTTTAGATTGTTTTTTTTTTTCTAGTATTGAAATTCTGAGTTCATGGCTGCTCAAGAAGGAGCTAGAGTTTTGGAACTTACACAAGATCCTAGTACAATATATTACATTCATCCATCTGATTACAACAATTACAAGTTCATCAATGATGTTTTTGATGGAGAGAACTATAGTTCTTGGAAGAGATCGATGATAATAGGACTTTCTACTAAGAATAACATGAGTTTCGTTGATGGTACTATACCTAAACCTCAGCCCATAGATGCTACTTACAAGGCATGGATAAGGTGTAATGATCTGGTAGTTGGTTGGATATTGGGAGTTCTTGGTCCTATTACTAAGAAATCAGTGTTTTTCTATAAGACATCAAGAGATATGTGGCAAGATCTTGAGGAACGATATGGACATGTTTCTTCTGCACAGCTCTATGCTCTTCAAGAAGAAATCAATGAGGTGAAACAAGATTCTGATGAGATAACAGAGTATTTTTGCTAAATTGAAAGTATTATGGGATGAACTAGATGATATAAGTCCTATGCCAGTTTGTGAGTGTAATGGTTGTAGATACTGCTAAATTTCTGAAGATCCAAGATCCAGGAAGATCAAAGGTTGTTAACTATGTTAAGGTTTCTCATGAAGCTCAAAGATGGTTATCAGATCAGCAGATTAGAAGCAAAATTCTGATGATGCATCCTCTTCCACAAATGACAATTGCATATAGGATGCTATTGCAAGTAGGGCTAGGCACAGGTCCAGAACCGGACCGGGCCGGATCGGGACCCCTTGGACCTGAAGACCTGAATATGGAAATTTTGAGGACCGAGGACCAGACCTGAATTTTCAGGTCCGGTCCGATTTTTAGACCTGTTTGAGCAATTTTGTTGTTTTTACCCTTGAAAAAATAATTTAATAACAACCTGTTAAGAAGGCATATATATTAAGTTATAAACTACAAGTCAAAGGTCTATAAGTACTACAAGTCAAAAAGTCTTACTACACGTTTAGAATACATTTAACTATTTAAGTACTACTTAAAAATTACAAAAGTCCACCAAATTAGAAATACGATGACAAGTTTTGAACATGGAAGATTTATAACAATAGTTTCAATAAGAAGATCTTTCTTTCTCCATTTGTTGTTAGGTTTTGATGATAAATAATAAATGATGATTATCTAACTAATATGTGTATTGAGATGAGCATGAACAGGCCATGAAGCATGAAGAATGTTGATTACAAATTAGATCATTATTGAAGATTACAAAGTATGAATCGTGCTTGAGTTCCTTAGGGGAACACAAGAAGAAGAGTTCCTCAGGGAAACACAAAAAGAAGAGTTCCTCAGGGGATCACAAAGAGAAGAGTTCCTCAAGGGAACATAAAGAGAAGAAGAAGAGTTCCTCGGGGGAACACAAAAAGAAGAGTTCCTTGAGGGAACACAAAGAGAAGAAGTCTAAATGTTCAAACGTTCTTTTAGACTTTATATGCAGCTCCTAAGAAGCACTAGAAGTTAGTTCTTTGACGAAGGGAACAAGCAGCAGTTCCTCAATGGAACAAACAAAGAGAAGTTCCTTTGAAGGAACTAGAAGCTTTGGAGTAGAAGCTTCATCAGAAAAACATGAAAACGACAGAAAAATAGGAGTATATTTTTCTAAGAATCATGTAAATATGTTAGAAAAGAGAAATTGTTTGGAACAAGCCTAAGGAACTAAATTGGAGCTTTAGTCTAGAAGGAACTGAGTCTGACAGCTTAGAAGGAACTAGGTGACCAGTAGTTCCTTATGGGTCAGTTAAAGAAAAATAAGTAACATTCTTTTAATGAATGAGTTTATATTTAGTTATTTTTCTTTAAAAAGATAAAGTTTTTAAATGTGATAAAATTAGTCTTCGAAAAAGATTTTTACAGTTTTTGGAAAATAAATCTTTGATATTATTTTACAAAAAGATTTTATTTTGTTTTTGGAAAATAAATATCTTAAATATTATTTTACAAAAATATCTTTTTCATCAAATAAGATTTTAACTGCTTACTTTATCTTCTCTCCAAGAAATCAGTTTTCCTGATTGTACTCCACGTTCAACATAGTGCATAAGACTTTGACTACCACGTTATCACGTTTCTCTACTGCCCAAGTAATTGGCAGTTACCTAAAAATAAGCGAACTGATTGTTAGTGGAGGATTTAGTGAGAGTAGTGGTCAAGTCTTATGCATGCTATAAAAGGAGAGTTAAGTTTTAGTTTCAATTTGTCTGACTTTAGTGAGTCATTCCAAATTAGCGTATATCTCAAGTGGAAGAGCAGCAGAAAAGAATTATATTTTCTCTCCACGTTTTTGAGTCAGTTCCTCCAGGTTTCAAGTTCCTTACATATCTCAAATTGTCCAACATATTAGTTTTATACATTATATCTTTTATAAGTATTTGAGAGTTGTTCAAGGGTTTGAGTGAACTCTTGTAATGGGGAATTTATAAGGGTTTGAGTGAACTCTTGTATTGGGGTGAGAACTTGAGTGAGTTCTTTGTATTGAGAAAAAGAGAAAGCTTTGAGTGAAGTTTGAGAGAAAGAGAAAGATCGAGTTAGGCTTTGAGTGAAGTCTTAAGTTGTTAGAGAGAGAGTTAAAGTGATCAACTGATTGAGGGATTAGTTAATTGGGGAACTCGGGTTCATTGAGGAACTCGATAGAGGCTTAAGTTCCTTATAGGTTGTAACAGAGTCGTCGGCCTATTTTAGTGGAATGTTTTGAGTCAAAATCCCTTGGGGTCGAGGTTTTTCACTTCCTATTTGGCCTAGGAAGTTTTCCTCGTAAAATCTCTCTTGCACTATTTCTCTACTTTCGTTTAGTTTCTTTTATTTCCGCAAAAAGTGACTAGAAACCTCCATACTACAATTCACCCCCCCCCCCCCTCTTGTAGTATTTCATCTAAATAACACCATCAAACTTTAGGAATCATATGAGAGAGTCTACATATACAACATCATCATCTTCATCCAACGTCATACCTTGAAATTCTATAAACATGGAAAAAAACTATCAATGAGAATGGAGAAAGTTATTAACATGAAGTAAAATAAGTAACCAATTTATAATTACCTTTCTCAACTTCCTCTAACTCTCTCACATTTTCCTCCACATCAATTTCGGATACTCACTTAGCTCGTAGCCAATCTTGTGTACAATTGAGAGCTTGCACCATCTTTCATTAGTAAAAAAAAAATCAAAAAAAAATCAAAATTCAACATTATAGTGTGTATTGTGTACTTGTATTAAGTGTAACAAATAAAATAGAAAAAATGCATTACCTTAGGAGTCAATGAACCCCTAAATGGATCAAGATGACGACCTCCGGCACTAAAAGCGAATTCCGATGCAACTGTGGACAGCGGAATAGCTAATATGTCCCGTGCCATGCGTGAAAGAATAGGATATCGATGTCCATTTCTACTCCACCAAGTCAAGGCATCTGATGCTTCTTCTTCCACACCTAATTGTTCATTTAAATACCTCTCAAACTCGCTCCTTACATACCGACCAGACCCTTTCATCCTTTTAGCTCTGTCTCTAATACTTTTTTCATAATCATCCCCTTCTCCTCCTATATCAAGATCCCCATTTGAATCAATTGGCATATCATCAACACTTTGTCCACTTTGATGAGCAACAGAAGGATACTTACTTTTTTTACTCATCAAACAAAGAGTAAGCAGCTTCTTTCACATCATTAGCAAGCTTATGCCAATATCCTTACCATAAAGGTCGGTAAGTGTCAATTCAACAACAATCATCTTAGTACGAGGGTCAAGTAAAGCAGCAATGTAGATTAGTTTGTTCATTTTGTCCACATTTCCCCAATACTTATCAAATTTCTTTTTCATTGTAATGGCCATTGCTTTGAAATTTTCATCCAAACTTTCCTCCCACTTGTTCAACATATTATACACAGCAACAATCTCAAACATACCTCTATTACTAGTAACATAAAGAGAACCAGAAATGCGGCGAGTTAACAAGTAAAATCCTCTCAAAAACACTTCCAATTTCTCCACATTTTTCCAATCATCTAATTCAAGGGCTTTTCATTGTCCTTTAAACCCTCCCCATTTGACAAAGGTATACCACTAAAAACACGTTGAAATTTCAAAGTCGTATCTAACATTATATAGGTCGAATTCCAACGAGTAGGAACATCAAAAGATAAAGAAGACTTGCAATCAATGTTATACTTTTGCACAAGATCTTTAAACCTTTGTATTCTGGCAGGAGAATTTTTAATATACTTAACATCATTTCTAACCCTATCAATGCATACACCACGCTATTTAATACCATCCCACACAATCAAATTAATAATATGAGCAATACATCTAACATGAAGATATTTTCCATCACCAACACATCCCATCCGTTGAATCATTCTTTTTAAGTGAGCACAAGCAACATCATTTGAACTAGCATTATCAACGGTAACACTATACAACTTATCCTCAATACCCCAAAATTCCAAACAAGCCTCAACCGCTTTTCCAATAGCTTCACCCTTATGACTAGAAATTGGACAAAAATTAATAATTTTTTGTGCAATTTTCAATCATTATCAATGAAATGAGCCGTGAGACACTTGTAATTAATTCTTTGTATTTATGTCCAAGTATCAGTTTTCACACAAATAGTTTGAGAATTTTTTAAAATGGCTTTCAATTTTGTCTTTTCATTATGATAAAGTTGAAGACAATCACGAGCAATTGTTGTACGAGATGGAATATTAAATCTAGGACAAGCAACACCCATCAAATATTTAAAACCAGCTTTCTCTACAAATCTAAAAGGAAGCTCTGACAGGGTAAAGTTGTATCCCCTAATAAAAAATAATTACCTAAATCCTCTAACTAAAGTAGATAGGGAAGTAGGGTCGAACTCCACAGGGAAACAGGTCTTTTTACTCCTAATTAATTATTATAATCTAAATTATCTAAGTAACCAATATTTTTATGAATAAAATCTAAACTACGGAGAATAAAGTCGAAAGGAATAAAGTGGGGAGAAAATCAAATATTAAAGGCCTGGGGCATAGGTTCACTAATAAACAATATTTCAGGGCAAATCATAATAAGCAATCATCAAGCATTGGTTAATCAGATTATAAAGGGCTTTCGCTACGTATTATAATCACAGAGTTAATTTACCGGTATTAAATCTCATCTGTCGAATCTCGACTTAACCATTTATAAACTAATCCGCCTATTGAAACTAAGCCTAAATATCAATTCTCATCTATCGAATCTCGAATTAATATTGCTAGACTCATACAATTAAATCTGGCCAAACCTAATTGCATAGCATTAAAACAATCAATAGGAAATCCACCAAGCATTGATAATTAACAATCACAAAATTACCCCTTCATATCATTTATTAGATCCCCATAAACCCTAGAAATTAAACTACTCACAAATCATCATGACTAAACTAATCAAATAAATAAATAAAAGCATAATCAAGAAAGCAAATAAAATAACTGAAATTAAAAGGGAAGAAATTGTTACCAAAAAGAAATCTGGAATTAAAGGAAAAATTAAGAACAAAAGTTGAGAGAGAATTTAAGAGAGAAAAAAAATACTAAGTAGAGAGAGAAAGTCTAAGAAAGAAGGTAATCTAAAAATTATGTACAAAATCGTACTTAAACGTTTTCTAAAACAAGAATTAAAACTAAACTTAATCAGGTCTTCTAAAAACGCGCGCCCGATCGGGCAAAGGGCCGCCCGATCGGGCGCGCCTTTTTCTTCGCGTTCCTTCCCATTAGCGTCGCCTGATCGTGCTAGAGGCTCGCACGATCGGGC